TTAAAACCAACCAAATAATTTTCTATACTTATTGCACTCTGAAAGTGGCTTGTATTGGATTTCACACTTTAACGCAAGTTGAGCAGCGTGTGCCTTTAAAAATGTCAGGTCAAAATATTAACACTTTCAAAGGATATAAGAGATATGAACACTAAATAACTACCCCATAATAAGTAACAGTATCTGGATATGCCTTCAATAGCAAGGCATATAATTCACAGGCATCTAATAAATTGTCTGTATTTTCATGCCATACTAAAATTGGAAAAGAATGACGAAAAGCATTAACAACAGATCTCTTAAATAGCTAGAAAGATACAATAATTACCGGCACTATTTATTATTACTTCTTTTTGAGTTCGAGCAGGAAGTCGTAAAAAGAATGCTATAATGAAATAAAAGTTAATAACAGAGTGATAAAGATTCTATATGGGCTTTATCATAAAATCTAGCTCCGTAAACATGCGATTGAAATGAATAGAGAAAAATAGGCGCCATCAAATTCTTGTGCCATCCACTTAATTCACGTTAATTAAAACTATCCTTGTACCTTCTATAAGTAATCAACTTTTTTTTTCTTTCTTCTTTTTAACAAGCAACGTAATAAAAAATAATATCATGTTGCATGTAATATGAGAATCCATTTTTTAATGTCAATTACAAATAGGGACGCAGCTTTCTTATTAGTCTCTGCTCCGATATATGGAGAATTCCATTAGTGTTGTTCTCTTATATCATATGCAGTACTAAATAGGATGAGAATCGATCCTCAAAATTTTCTAAAAAGCTATTGAGAATCGATCGATTCTCGGTTTTTGAAAATTTTTTTAGAATCGAGTCACATCCCTAAATTAAACACTCCAAATAGAACGGAGGTAATAAATTGGATGCCTTTGACTGTAATAATATAAACAAATATTATTTACCAATCAGACTTTGAGAAAACCTGACGGGGCACGGATCAACTGCAATTTTCCAAGTCTCGCTCCATATTATTAAATTTTTCTCATAATACTTGGTTGTTAATTTAACAACATCAATTTGGAGGACTCTTAAAAGCTACACTATGGGGCTGTAAGAACAAGCTCGACGCCTCAATCGCACGTGCTTGAACGCGCAAGAATATTTTTTTTACTCACTGAAATTGTCGTCCATTGTTCGATGGAGTACGGAGTATGTTATTTCGACTAGATATTTCTTTAACGGTTCATGATCAGGGTGGAGCACACGTCTAAGTTATAAATTTATTTGTTTTCGATTTATTGTTTTTTTTTTTGTTGTTTTTTTTTTTTTTTTACAATACAATAGCAGCGTTGGCGAACAAGCAATCATGGCAATAGTTTGCAAACAAATATAAGAAATGAGAGAAAAGGTATTTTGTTTTATCGTAAAGAAAAAGAAACTTACAATTCATCAAACTGAATCTGCGCTTGAGTCATGTTACCTTCCTTGATTGCGATTTTATGTCCTAAGAGCTACATGATAAATAATCCAAAAAATTGTTAGGATTAAAAATTTATTAAATTAATAACTATATGAGAAATTATAAAATCGTGTATTATGAATTCGTTAAATAATAAACTAATATATGTTCTAATTCTTATTAGATTATAGCACTCTTTTTAATCTAACAAATAACATGTAATATTTTTACATACTGATCTCGACAAATTTATCCATTATTAAACACAGGATTGGAAATAAATGGGGTACAATACCTTGATTTCATAAGAATTAGGAAAAAGCTCGTATGCTTCATGATAATATTTTATAGCATATTGTAACCTTTCGTCACTAGTTAGCTCACTATCTTCTGAAGGAATCGCCGTCGCTGATGGAGGGCTCAAGTATCGACTTATTATATTTACATAATATGTGAGATCGCGAACCGTTGAAGTTTCAATATTTGATATTGAATCCGAAGACATTCTAGTAACAGTATTTATAAACTAAAAAGTTTCGAAAAAATATAAAGATGGTAAAAAAATTTGTGTTCCTATAAATAAGTTCGTAAATGTAAATAATATTATATGCAGGAATTTATTTTAATTAAAATTAAAGTAGAAAAACAGATCGCTTTTGGGGAGAAAACGAAGTAAAACGAAATTTGCTTTTATACCTAATGATGATGTAATAAATTTTTGTATACGTACCTAATGATGATGTAATTTTTTTTGGTTTATCATTATATTTTTTGAACTACATAAACAATTTCTAATAATAGTTATTTATTTATAATAAATAGTGTTACAAATCATCTTACGATACGATTTCAACAAATCGAAATATTGTTACCCATGATGGTTCCTATGCCCATCTGCAGAATGTTAGATACGTACGTACGTACGTACGTCGTATCAGGTTTATGATAATATAGATTTTGTTAATGAAGTCACCAAAGAAATGTTTTTATTTTACGTATAAATAATCTACAAGGATTTGTTATTAAAGGAATATAAGTTGTTTAAACAACTGCACAGTAACGCCATCGGAAATACAAAAGCATTGGCTGATCAGCAAGACTTTGATCGCCGAAATTAAGGATTATGTTTACTTTGAATACTTGTATCTCGATACTTTCCGATAGTATTTCGTGAATAACGAATTAATGACTTTTTTTAATCATCTTGCTCACATAAGATTCGAAGAATATATCAGCTATTCGAAGAAATACCGTAAATGGTTATACAAGATCCAGGTCTGTTACATTCTACCAATTTTAAGGTATAGTATATGGCTGAGAATTTATATCATACAATGTAAAAATTTGAAACGCACATACACTTCGCGTTTATAACAGGCAATTTAGATTTCTGAAAAGAACCGCATTTAATTAAAAGATCCTGTGATTGCCCTGGGTATAGTACATGGTGAGTGAGGAGGTATTTTATTTTATACGGCCATTTACAGTATTATTAAAAAATACATAATATATATACTGTATATCGTGTAATATCGTGCTACATGTTGGCATTGTCAGAATCGCTTCTAATATAAAGTTGGTGAAACGCTTAATTCCGAACGTTTCTGTTAGATTTAAAAAATTTGAATGGCTTTGATTATACAAAATTTCGATATACAGTCAACCCCCTCTATAATCACACGTTTTGTTTATTTAATAACTTTTTTAAAAATGTGCTTATAAAGAGGTTGTGCTTATATAAGGTATATATATATATATATATAGTTTTTTATATGTTTAATAGTAATTTGTTTTTGAGATAGAATGTGATAAAGAGAAGTTTTTATATGATGTGATTATAGAGGAGATGACTGTAGAGGGGGATGACTGTACCTACCTTGGATTGCCGTAAATCGCCGTATACAAGGCCTGGGTCTGTTACACTCCGCCAACTGTAAAACCCTTTAATAGACCCGGGTATAGTACGTACGTGGCTGAGAGTTTATACTATACCATATAACATAAAAATGTGAAATGCATACACGCTTCGCATTTATAGCAGGCGATCCAGATTTTTAAAAGACCATTTAATTAAAGATCCTGTGATTTGCACCCGGCTATAGCGCACAGTGATTTATGGTAAGATAACAAAACTTATAGTTTCAATATTTAGTACTGTATACTTATACAGTATAAAATTATATATTTTATCTATTAAAAAAATTATAAAACCTTTAAATATTTTATTTTATGTTTTTAATGAAATTTAATTTACTGGTTTTGTCATATATGTATATATACAGTACATTTATATCGTATACTGTACTATATATATTATATATATACTATATATATTGTACTGTATAGTAAATTTTGTATTTTTTTTAAAAAAAGTATACAAAATATATAGCATTAATTAAAGTTATATACAGAGCATGATACTTAAAGACTAAATCACGTGACTTGTTTTGATTTAAAATTTTTGTTTTTGCAGTTTTTTATATCAAGTTTACTAAAATGCGTTTATGGTGCTAAACATTATAAATACTATTTCTCAAAAACGTACTAAGTAATTAAGGTTCGGGGTTCTAAGCAAAAATATTCAGAATCTCTAAAACCTTATACAAACTAGAATCGGGACCTTACATCTTCTACAGTTACCCTCCTTTATAGTCACCTCTTATATAATTACACTCTCTTTATAAGCACCATTTTTTGAAAAATTATTGGCAATACAGTACATTTATTAAAAAAAACTATATAATTACATTACTATTAAAATTTTATATTCATATCTTTTTTATATAAAACAAACAGCGTGATTATAAAAAAGGATAACTGTATATTATATTATACTGTATAAAACTTTTTTGGTTTAAAATTGTACTCTATATAACTTTAAATTTTAATAAAAGTTATATATAATGTTTAACACTATAAGCGCATTTTATAATTATTGGTTTATATTCTAATTGGTTAAGATTTTTAATTTTTTGCAATTTAATTAACTAAAATTTTTATTAATTAAAAAATTTTTAAAAATTAACCAATAGCAAAAAGTCAAAAATATAATTTGTTTTATTTTTATTAAT